TCTCTCTCTCTCTCTCTCTCTCTCTCTATAGCCTCTCACCGCACATCAAACACGGCGTGAAAATTGTGGTTTCGATGCCTTGTCTTTACGGCCGAAATACACATTTCTCTCTCTATTCCACACTTTTTATTATATTTAATCCAAAAGAATAGATATATTTGTCTTAAATTGAATTTTTATGTAAAAACCTAATCCCAGCGAATGGAGTATTAGAAATAATTTCATAATAAATATATTGCATAAAAATGGCACATAAAGCACATATTAATAATAAATAAGACATTTATTGTGTTTGTTGTCAACAAATATGTCATTATGTTTTTTATATATCTGTAGGCATTGGACTCTATTGTGAAAGCGTTGACACTGTGTTCACCGGACGACTTATCGTGTGCGCACCTGTATGTAGAGCACGGGGATATATTGCGTGATTTGCGTGATTGGCAAAGTGCTGCTGAGGTATAGTCTCCATCCATAGCCTCAATGTGTGAAACAATTAACTTCTAGTGAAACACAAAAACTACTATAATATCTCGAGAAATGCATTCAATGAATGTTTACACAATTCTTGTATTTGTTTTGGTGATACAGAGCTACAGAATCGCGATATCCCTGGACAGCAGTATCTCGCGATCGCATTTGAATTTAGCGGTGATTTGCCATTTGGAGGGCGACTATAAGACAGCTCTGCATCACTACCTTCAGGCCCATAGTCTCGATCCCTTGAACTCTATTATTGCGGAGAATATCTCGAAACTGAAGAGACAATTATTTCGACACAAGTATTATAGCAATCGATGCCATCGAGAGTCTCAATCCTGTCATGTCGTGCGATGAAGAGTTGAGGCGCAAAACCCATTGATAAATATATCTCCAAACACACCAACTGTAGTGGACTGGGAGGACAGTCTATTATATTAGATGACAAACACAAGAATGTATAGAAAAAGAGTGTTAGATAACAAATAATACAAATAAAATATATTACATATAATTATATTTCATGAAAACCTAATTATATATAAAAATGATGACAAAAACGGATAAAATAAAATAAAGTATATACGAGAAAATGTGTTCAACAGTAACTAATTATTTTAAATGTGACAAAATTAATGATTACGTAATAAATTAACGTTATATATATATTGTACATAATATATGATTAATTCATATGACTATATATATTGTATATATGAATCCAGTTTTGTAAAGAATTTTTTCAAAGGCTATGCAATAAATAGTGTGCAATCGTATGATATATAGATGTGTATCAATACTTATACCAGAAGTGATAATAATAATGACAAACTTATACGACAAAAATTGTAATAAATATATGCTATAAATAAGGAGTAACTTTTGGGGTACTTCTGTACAGTTTAGTCTCATTTATTTAAGAATTTGATTAACTCTTGCTATTAATAATCGCTTCTAATGTAGTTTTATATTTTCTGAGCTTTATCTAAGGTATCAAAATAGATATATGAAGTAAACCATATGTGCTAAAACAATTATCAAGCAGTAACCAAAATACAATAACAAATTAATTGATATTTTATTTATAAAATCTTAAATATTCTTATTATAAATAACTTTTAAGGAACTTTTAAGTGTCAGTAAAATATTATGATTTTTAAAAAATAATAAATTTATATTTTTAGTAATTGAATAATTTGACATTGAAAATAATTCAATAGAAATGCAAATATATGAAATGAAAAATCTGAAAATAAAATGTGTGTTAAAAATATGATGGATTGACTGGTTAACAGTGTTTGCAATATGAAAGTAAGTGATGTCTTCTCACCGCAAAAGTCACTCTAATTCACAGCAATACTGGTGTTCAACACATTCTCATTGACTCTCAAATCTATTATTCATTTATGATAATCGAAATCATGAATGAATTCAAACTCTAAATACTAATCGTAATAAAAGAAATGCTAAGAATTTCTAAATTAAATATTCGTGAGATTTCCAAATATATAGTCAATAAATATGAATTGAAAGTAGAGTTTAGACGAGAAATAGATTTATATGAAAATTCATCAAACATTTTATTATATGTGATATTATTTGCAGGAATTTCTTCAATTTTCGTTTTGCCGACAATAATAGAAAATTATCTCTTCCTTCGGATTCATAATTCATGGGATTTGCGACCAAATGAAAGATTAATATAGAAATAAATAATGAATAAAAATTGTGTGAAGTTTAAGACGTGATCAGAGATGACCAGGAATATGGCGATCGCTATTTACTACACAAAAAACATATTTCCAGTCATAATGTGTTTGGCTCTGACTTGTAATCCCAATAATGTTTTGTGTAAAATGCAGTCGGAATGCCATAAAATTTGTGGAGACTATGGATATCAAGTCCTATATATCCACTCGAAAGCACTTTCGGTCATCTCTTGTATATATGTTGTGATGTGTAGTGAAGGCATACAATACAAGACAATATAAAGTAAGGCTTTTTTTGATACTCAAATTGTCGTCATTTGTCGCATAGAATTAATTGAGTGCCGAAGCAGTCAGAAGACAATGCGAGGAATGCCAACAATTTGCTCATTACTCCAATTTGGATGCTCTCCACCACCAGAGCTCCAGTTCCACCAGCAATATCGTCGCCAAAGTCAGGCTCCATTTCCATACAATCACTTTTGAGATGCATTTTATTTCCAATTGTTTTACTCATTTTGTTTTTTGCCTCATTTTATGTCTGGAAATGCATTCTTTAGAAAAACAAAATTCTTTGAGATCTCAACACAAACTCATAAATTTATTTCGCTTTT